CGGCGGCTTCGGCCAGGTGTTCCGGGCGAGGCACCAGCGCTGGCGGACCGAGTACGCCATCAAGTGCGCCCCCTGCCTCCTGCCGGACGCCACCAGGTACCCTCCCGCCCCTCTGCTTCCAAACAGGAGAAACTGAGGCCGGGCAAGCTTTGGGCCCAGGGAGCTCCCGAGGGAGGGAGGGAGGGAGGCGCGGGCTGAGGTTGAGGCTGAGCATTGTCCCCTCAGCATTTCTGAATTCTGCCCAGGAGCCCGCGCTTCCCAGGCTCAGCTGCACACAGTACTTGTTTGTGGAATCAAGAGGTCAAAGGTGTGCAGGAACTACCCTCCAAAGATGCCTTTGTGCCATCCGAACCTCCCAAACTTGGCCTGCCTCCTTCTCTCCAGTTCCTCTTTCCCTCAGGGAGTCCTGCAGTGATGACTGCTCTCAACCGCCCTCTGCCACCCTCCTGCCCACCCCAGGGCTGGGCCTCCTGAGAGGCTGTGGCACTTCGCTCAGTGATCTGTAGGGAACCACACTGCCTCTCCCCATGGCCGTCTGGGGAGGCCCCTGCCCGGCCAGTGCAGGCCACTTGCTGGCTCTCATGGGACCTGCTGGAAGGTCAAGTCTGTAATGCTATGATCTCTGTCCTTGCTTTTGTCCCCGACTCCCATCACGTGCACTGCGGCCACGCTTTGGTATGCCTCCCTTTTTCTTTTACCACCTCTTTCCCACTGTTTCTGCTCGTCTCTGTCTTCCCACTGGCATGGGCTCCAGGCTCCTTCCTGCTGGATTTGCATGTACTAGCCATGTGCTTGCCCCCTCTGCAGCCAGGAAGGAGATGCTTGGGATGTTAAGTCTGAGCGTGAGAGCCATGTCCTCCCTCCTCCCAAGCTCCTGGGGCTCCAGCTATGGGCCTGGGGAGGGAACATCTCCTACTGGCATCTTACTTGGATGCTATTTGTCATATTCTCTATGCTCACCATGTAAACTCAACACAGTCTCAGGCTCCACACACTGCAGCGAGTCCCTTCACTAATTCCTGAACCCTCATCCAGCTCATGAAGAGGGGAAAAGTGAGGTAGCCTAAGGCTCACCCACCTTCCTCCCTCAACATCTGCTTGTTGGCTTTGGAGTAGGATCAGATTATTCTAGGATTTGTCCAAATCATTTATAGTCCTTGGAATAAACAACAAAAGGAAACAGATGGCATTGACAAGACTAACTGTTAGACCTTGATGATAACTGCCACCACTTTTCCTTCCTAAGTCCTGGGAATTCCCTGGGTGGAAAGGGATAAGGGAATCATGCAACTAATGCCTGCTGTGTGTGGAGTACTACACTAGGAGCTTCACACGTATTACGTCACTGGATTCTCCTTCCATCTATTCACTCATTCATCCACTTGACAAATGCTTATTGCTCTCCTGCTAGGTGTCAGGCACCTCGCTAGACCCTAGTATGTAATGATGAATGCAACAGATATGTCCCTGCTCTCCTGGAGCTTGCAACCCAGGAAAGAAAGACGTTAACCAGATAACCCCACATGTCAACATAAATGTGCTACTGTGAAAGGTATAAGGAAGGAGAGATTTATGGTTCTGTGATAGAACCATAAATACCAAAATCTTATTAATAGAGCGTTTGGCTGAGATCAGAAAAGGCTTCCCAGAGAAAGAACTGAAATGTGAAGAATGAATACAAGTTAAGTAAGTGAGGAAGAGAAAGTTTTCCAGGAAGAGGCAACGGAGCGTGCAAAGGACCTGTGGCTAGAGGGTAGGTATGAGGGTAGAGCAAAGACCGTTGTGGCAGGGTTGTGAGAGTGAACGAGCAGTGGAAGCTGCTGAAGGGTTTGAGAGGAGGAAGGGGTGTGGTTATAGGGAGAGATCAATCAGATTTACAGTGTGCAGAGTGGATTGGGAGGGGTAGGTGGGTGCTGGTCCAGTGAGGACACTGTTGTCTTCATTCAGTCAAGAGATGATTGGAATGTTGGTGGTGGAAATAGAGGGAAAGGAGCGTATTAAGTAATATTTAGGAGGTAAAAATCCACCTGGCTTGGTACTGGACTGGAATCGTGGATTGCACAATGACGAAGAGGGGGGTCGAGGTTTTGATGTCTCGCCTGTCCAAAGAAATGGGAGGGCCACTGGAATGTCCATTCCGTGAGAGCAGGGACTTGTGTCTGTTTGGTTCACTGCTCTATCTCTAGTACTTGGCACATAGTTGGTGTTCAGTAAATATCTGCTGAATGGTGGTATTGACAATCAATAAAGGGAACAAGAAAAGAGACCCAGCTTTGGAAAGGAAGATGATGAATTCAGTTCCGTACATGTTGAGTTTCAGGTGCCTTTAAACAGCCAAGAAGAGTTGTCAAGTAGACTTCAGAGTAAAGGTTGGAGCTAATGGTATTAAAATTTATGACTCATTTGTTATATGTGGTAACTGAAGCTAGGGCATGAGTGAGATTCATTAATTCTAAGCACTAAGTGGACAAAACAAAGCCCCTGCCTTCATGGAGCTTATAATCTAATGGAGGAAGACAGAAAATAAAGAAATAAACAAACAAATCATTTATATATGGCACTTGATGACCACCTGACATTTTCTTGATTCAAATACCTAGGAGAGTTGAGTAGTCTGATCTTCCAAAAAAAGGTTTGGTTTAGAAATATGAATTTGTGGGCAATCTGTGTATGGGGGGATGAGGATTGCCAGAATCAGGGTGGAGTTGCCATTTTATATAGACTTGTCTATGAGATTTTTACTCATTAGGTACCATTTGAGTAGAGATTTGAAGCAAATGAAGGAACAAGCCATGTCGCTTTATTAGGGAAGAGTGTTCTAGACAAAGGGAATGGCAGGTGCAAAGGTCCTGAGGTGGGAATGTGTTTAGCATGGTTTTTACAGTAAATAAAGAAGAGAGCCATGGGAGGGTCCTGAGCAGGGCAGTGATGTACTCGGACTTAGGTCTTAAAAATTTTATGCTGGCTGCTGGGTTGAGAATCGATTGTGCAGGGGAAGAGGGAGAAGCAGAGAGGCCCATTAGGGGACTTAGGCTGAGATGCACACGGGTAAGATGGTGAAAGGTCGTCACATTCTTGCTGCACTTTGAAGGTAGAGCTGACAGGATTTGCCTAGGGCCTGCTTGTGGGAATGAGAAGAAAGGAGTCAAAGATGACACCAAGGTCCCTGTCTGAGGACTAGCAGGATGGAGGCTCCATTTACCAGGGTGAGGAAGGCTGAGGGAGGAGTAGGTTTTAGGGAAGAATCAGGAATTTAGCTTTAGTCACACATGTTGGTCCATTTTCTGTCGCTAATAACAGAATACCTGAAATTGGGTAATTTATAAAGAAATAAAATTTTTTTCTTACAGTTTTGGAGGCTGGGAAGTCCACGATCCAGGGGGCACATATGATGAAGGCATTTTTCTCGGTGGGAACTCTCTACAGGGTCCTGTGGTGACCAAGATGTCACATGGCAAGAGTGGCATGAGCAAGAGAGTTAACACACTCACTTGCTCTCTTTTTAAAGCCATCAGAAAGAACCACGCCCATGAAACCCATTAAACCATTGACCCATTACTCCATGAATGGATTAATCCACTCACAAGGGCACAGTCCTCACAATTCAGTCACCTCTTAAAGGCCCCACCTTTCCAATACTATAATGTTATAATGGGGATCAAGTTTCCAACACATGAACTTCTGGAGGACCTCTCTACCCGTAGCAACACAATATCCAACTGGAGATGTTGAGATTGACTAGGAAAAGAGCATAGAGCGAGGAGAAGAGAGGGGCCAGGACCCAGCCCAGTGGTCAAGTAACAGAGCAGGAGCCTGCAAAGGAAACAGAAAGGATGCGACCAGAAAGAGAAGGAGAAATCAGGAGAACGTTGGCCATGCAAATAGCTGAGGTAAGACAGCATCTCAAGAAAAAAGAGTGAGAGATTTGTTACGAATACTGATTCCTGGAAAGTGTTCATGGGATACAGCAACATAGAGATCACGGTGGCCTTAACGACAGGTGTGCAGTGAAGTACTGACACCAGAAACTAGATGAAAGGGAGTGGTGGGAGGTGAGAAAAGGGAAAGACTCAGCACACGCTTCTGGGAGGTCCACACATGCAGGGGAATTGCGCGAGGCAGTTACTATTATTCCCACATTACAGCTTAGAAACTGAGGCCCAGAGAGTTCACTTGCCCAAGGTCATGTGGATAATAAGTGGTGAGACTGGGATTTGAAATCAGGGCGGTGTGACCCCCAGGTCTCATGCTTTTTCCACTGCACGACACATGTCATTTTAGTTCCTGTGAACCCAAGAGGATGAGAAGAGACAGATCAAAAATATCACAGGTGGCTGGGAGATCTCTGGAAGAGTAGAGAAGCAGAGGCGAGAACAAGAGAAACCAGGACCTGCGGACTTGTCTATATGCCAGGGACGGCGGGTGGTTTTTCCTGGAGGCCAAGGTCTCCGGGTGGCTTCCCCGGGAGGCTCTGGGAGCACAATTTCAGCAAATTCAGACTGCAGTGCCCTCACAGCTTTGCAAATACTGTGCTTTTAAAAACGTCATTCCTTCTTAGTCCCCATCCTCGCAATCCCAAAACAATCTGTAACAATTTGCATACTTACTGTTCTGTGGGCACATACAGTGAAATGAGTGAGAGGGTTTGCAAATGCTTATTTTGTAAGGCTTTCTCTTAAGTCTTGACTTCTGTTCGATTCAACAGAGATGTACTGCGCAGCGCATGGCAAAGAGCTGTGGGGAGTACAAAGATGAATAATAAGAATTCATCCATAAAATGGAATACCGTGCAGCCAGGAAAGACCATGCTCCAGGAGAAGAGCAATGTGGGAAGTGTTTGCACTCCACATACTATGTGATCGAAGGAAAGAGAGGAGAAAGGAGCCAAAGGGAGGGAGAAAGGGAAAGAGATACCTTGAAATTGTATTGTAAAAGCATGTACTAAAATGTTAACAGAGGCCAACTCTGGAAGGTTGGATTACTGATGATTTAATTTTCTTTTTTATAGCTCTGTGTACTCCCTAGGTTTTATACAAGGCATATGTGTTACTTTCATAATCAAAAATGGCCATAAATGATACTTTAAAACAGAAGCCTGAGGCAGCAATCTGTTGAGGGAGATAGACATATAAACAAGTAGCCAGGATAGATGGCAGGATGTGATACATGTTGTCTGTGGCCACCTCTGCAGAATGGACTGATTCCTAAACCTGCACCCTGCTTTACTTCCTGTCTTGTCACTGCTGGCCACCTGGACTTTAATCTGTGCCACCTGCTGGACATTACTTCATGTCTCTCTTTCCTCCTCCACTGCCTTGCAAGCTCCTCAAGCTTCTCTACATCCCCACAGCCTGGCATCATGCCTAGTTTGTGTGCTGCTGGTTGGTCTAGTAATGAATGGGTCACACTCTGCCATCTCTGGCTCCCCCCTCTCCATAGCTCCGATGTGAATTGCCTAATTGAGGAAGCAACCAAAATGGAGAAGATAAAGTTTCAGCACATCGTGTCCATCTATGGGGTGTGCAAGGAGCCCCTGGGCATCGTGATGGAGTTCATGGCCAACGGCTCCCTGGAGAAGATGCTGCCGACTCACAGCCTCTGCTGGCAGCTCAAGTTCCGCATCATCCATGAGACCAGCTTGGCCATGAACTTCCTCCACAGCATTAAGCCACCTCTGCTCCACCTGGACCTCAAACCGGGCAATATCCTCCTGGACAGCAACATGCATGTCAAGGTAAGGGGCCTGGTCAGTGCCCTCGCCCCCTTTTCACTCCAGAGTCTCCTCCAGGTGAGCAGGATTATGTACTCACCTGACTGGCCTGTCAAGAGTTTTAATGGGCATATACTGAAGACACAGGTCACACCTGAAACAGAGATGGATGAGCAGCAAAATTTGGTGATGAGGCTGGGTAGAAGAATGCCTGCAATAACCCTCTTTAGGCCTCAGTTTCCCATCTCTAAAATGTGTAGAATAATTCCTATTCTTCCCACTCTTTGCTTTGGGTGGGGATGTGGGTAAATGAGATAATCTGTAAGAAAGGTCAGAGTAGCCATTTTTTTCAGTTCCTAAAATATGCCACACTCTTCTGCCCTGGGTCCTTTGCACCTTCTGTTCCTGCACGCCCTTCTCTGTATCTAGCAAAGACACACTCATCTTTCAACTCTCAGCTTAAATATCACCTCCTCAGGGAGGTCTTCCCTGATCTGCCCCAACAGGCCCCTGTTGTAGACCTTCATTGCACCTTTGTTTCTTCATATTGCTGGTCCTACTTGTAAGTGTATAATCATTTGTGAGACTCTTTCATTAACAACTGGACCCCCATTTGAATAAACACTTATGAGGGTGCAGAGTGTGTGGGAGGTGTCACATCTTTCTTATGTGCCACCTGATTCTTAGTCCCCA